TCTGTTCATACGGATTATTAGCACAATTAGATGCTTCCTATTTTTTTTCATCGAGTGGGATGTGGGTGAGGGAACGTGGCGCGAAGAAAGAACAACTCATACCCACACCCAAAACTTAGACAAAATGAGATATAATTCGCTTTCATTTGACTTTGGTTCTTTGTAAGAGTTACTTGTTGGAACAGATTCTTTTGCTATAAATATCCGTGAAAATATTGGCTCTTGCACCTGACATCTAATTAATTAAGTAGCGGATAAATCTGGGACATTCAAATTAAAAGGTCCGAAAATTTCAAGATACTACAAACTACACTAATGGTAAAATTTAGAGCAAGATTGGATTCCAAAAATAACGGTTTTACAGAAGTCTCCTCGTGTTCCGGAATGAAACTTTTTCAGAGTATCTAGAATAATTTAACATACATATAACATTAAAAAAAAACTAGTTCTAGGAAAATTCATCATCCGGAGATATTCACATCTTAATTTTGCGAAGTCACGTCACTAAGGAATGATTTTGGCCATATAATATAGTTTTTCATAATTGTCTTTGAAATAATCGAATTGATGATAGTGTCGTTTCTGATTCTCTATTGCCTCTTAAGAATTTTGTTACTTTCTCTTTCGAAAAATACAATGTATCAGAGGGATACTTTCAGTCAGTAGCAAAAATAGGTGCGAATATGCGTGTATAGGTGTTGACGACATCAAAATTTACAGCTACAACCACATACTCACACCCAATTCATTAACCCAGAATGAGGATATACTTTAATCTGAAGGAAATCTTCATAGAATACAAACATCGAACTTCTTTAGTAGTGAAAACAATATCGTACACTATCTTGAAGAAAACATCCAAAGTCATGAAACACCAAATAGTTGAGCTCCGTATGTTTCATCCGTTAGAAATAACGATAGATCCACACACGTCGATGACATCGAATGCAAGTAAACAATTTTCTCTTGTTCCATATTTTCTGAATGAGAACATTAGATGATGAAATGTCGCCACCAGACTCACGTTTTCTATACCAAAAAGTCGAGTGTTCGAAGTCTCTCATTAGTTCATAGATTTGATCCATCGCCAAAATAAATATGAGGAAATCGGAGATCATCAAAAGGAAGAGTTGTTTGTGCAATTTCGAATGCTGTTTGGATGTGATTCAATGCTCGTTGTAGGTCTCGATATCTAAGTTCAAGTAACAAATATGCCAGAGATAAATTATAAAGTACTAAATCTGGATGCATCGGTAATAATGTATTCTTTGCAACTTGTAAAGCTTTCTCACGATACTGGACAGATGTTTCATACTACTTTCGCCGTTCAAAAAGATTAGCCATATTATGGTAGCACAGTGCAATATCTGAATCATGTTCACCAGAGCTTGTCTGATAGATTTTCAAAGCTTTATTGTATGAGTCAAGAACTTGTTTTCGTTTTTTCTTTTTAGTATTCAAAATTCCTTGGGCTATGTATAGACTAGCAACACAAGGATCATCAACAAGACCTCTACTTTCGTATAATTTGAGCGCTTGATCTAACCATCGAACACTCTCTTCATATCGACCTGTATGAAGAGCTGCCATACCAATATTTTGACAGTAATCAGCAGGATTTGGATCATCTTTGGAAGATTCATAATAGGATCGACGAAAAAATCTGTCCGCTACGTCGAATTTAATCATTCTGCTTGCAAAATTTCCTAGAGAATGTATACTTGTTTTCTTTAGTTCTCCTCCTGGTAAACCTCCAAATTCACGACGCAATGATTCGAAGAGCATTTTTAAATCGTTTTCTTCTTTACTAAAAAGTTCCATTTCAACTATTGGAAATGGGTTTTCATCAATAATTTTGATAATACGAAAAATACTACCAGCCATGAATACAATTTCTTTTTCATCTGGAAATTCACTGAAACAAACTATATTAGCAAATGGTTGTATTAGATCGCCAGACAAACAAGGATTTGCTTTAATATGAAACATTATTCCAATTTCATTATCATCATGATTGGCTCCTGTTTTATAAAATTTGGCAACATTTCGTTCAAGGCTTGTTGACACAAAAGAATTCATTGAAATGCATTGACCCGTTGCCTTAGAAAGTTGATTCCATTCTTCTTTTGACATTCGTTGACTGCGATAAACCTCTACAGGAGATTGTTCTTGATGAAGAGCAAGTTGTTTTTGCATATCTTGTAAGAAAAATCGATAGATAAAAAGCAAATCGATATTCTAAGGTCGAAGAGCTTTATTCAATTGTCTATAAATAAATGTATTTTCTGTATACCATTCAAAAACTTTATCTGATTTATAATTTGCATGAAACTCATTCAGTTTCTGCAAGGCTGCTGTATTACCAGAAAAAAGTTCTGTGTATCGACTTATAAATTCATCTTTATCATTCAATTTCGATTCCATTCGAAGTAGAATATCAAGAAGAAATTGTGTAAACAAGAATCTTCCCTTAATTTCAGTTGAGGAAAATTCCAGTGTTTGATTTACATTTAAAATATCAATAGAAAACAATTCTTTATTACTACGAAGAAAACGAGCTTCGAATAAATGGATTCGATTCGAAATTTGATTGAAATAAAAATTTTTGACCTATCGATAAATAATTCATTCGTATTGTAAATCAATAAAAAAAATAAGCAATTTACTTTTAACATATTCAGAAGAGAACTCATTTTGATAATCTTTATTGGACAGAGACAATGTACACAATAGATTAACTCTTCTCGATATTCTTCTTGAATAAGTAGTAAATTACTTTTGCATTGATCGGTAAATCATAGAGATAGCTACCACATTTATAGAAATCATCGAAAAAACGAATATTATATCCTTGTAAAGATCGAATTTGTTCTGAATAATGTACATCTTGTAAAAGAATCGACTGAGATCTCTCATCGTACCAAATAATATCAAAATGATCAATAGAATCGTTATCATTTATTTCAATTTAATCAATATGCAAATGGTAGTTCGAGCTTCCTATATAAAAAAAAAGATATTCTTTAGCAAGCTAGAATATTCAACAACATACCATTGTTACCCATCAATTACAGAAGTTGATGTTATCGTTGAGTATCAAATTGTTTTCTTTTCATTTCAATTATAAGATGAAATCACATGACTGATTCTTTGCTTGGTTTTTTTATGGTGGAATATTCCAAACGATGTGAAAGCATCCACTTACTCATACGAAACGAACCAGTATGAGTGACTCAAAAACTTGATGAAAGATGTGTGTGTGGGTAAGACTGTCGATAAAAAAAACACTCAAAAAAGAAGAGTTAACCATGAACCAATCTATTTTCACATTCTTTTTCTAATTCCTTTACATCATTGCCATTAATTTTTCTAGAATAAAATACTAAGAACAAGCACATGTCGATTGATTATCGCATTAATATCATAGGCTGCGAGCTATATAAGATATTTTTATTCGAGCTGTCTACATCAAACTCTGTATTTATCTACGAAATATTTTTACTGTATATGACTTAATTGTGAACTTTTTTTGTTATAAAAATTGTATATTTTGAAGTTTTTTTCTTTCTTTCTATGTATCCAAACGCTTCGAGATCTTTCTGCTCTCCAGTACTTCACCTCCCTGCAATGAAAGATCTTGATACACATAATCAAATGGTTAAAACTATCTGAACTTTTTCAAAATTACCACATTCGTTTATTTTGTGAATAAAAATTTTGGATTTTGTTTTGTGTCTAACTTCTGAAAAACTCGTCTGATCCTACTAAAATATTTACTTTAGCTAGAACATGACTAATGTGTATAGCAAATAGAAATTTCAGTTCTCTACCGTTCTTCGTTCTGACAGAATTTTGCATTATTCAAAAAATGCAGAAGAACACTTTCTTATAGATTTCTGGAGATGATTGACTCAAGTCGATATTTTATATATTTCATTGGCGACTCGTCTTGATATTTATAATGATTCTAACTGTAACACCATGGACAAAACATTAAGTAAAACACGATCTGAAACTAAATAGACGATCATTCAATGCCAAAAAAAAACCCGTTAAACTGAGTGTGGATATGAAGCATATCCTGTGAGCGTGGACGTGAATCTTCTCTTCGCCTGTGCATACCGCTAATGAATAATAGATAGAATATCAACCTAGTTAGGTATAACATTGGAGCACAATAGTAATGCATATTACGAACACAAATTACTTAACATATGTTTCTTGTTTGTTTTCATATCATAAAAAACATTGACTAGAAACCATACTAGTGAAGTACGAAATCAGTATAATAATCTGTTGTAGTTTCCATATGATTTCCTCTATTATATCCAAGAATGATGAATTTTAAAGTTGTTGCAAAATTTATCGAACAATGTTTATGTAGCAATTAATAGAGAAAGTCTTTCTCTCTTGAGCTATATGTGTAAGGCAAAATTAAAGTGAACTATTAAAAAACTTGAAAATTTAAAAAAAAAATGAGAAAACATAAGAATAAATAATAGACGATGTATGTTGTTTAACTATAAGACTGTTTAACTCTTTCAATGAAGTTACTGATTATTTTTTACTCGTCGAATAGAAAAAAACAGAAACCTTATATTACATTAATTGTAGAATTTCGAGCCCGGTAAATTAATGTTTATGACAAAAAAGAATATTTTTAAATAAAAAAAAGTATTTACGTCAAGATTCTTTTTTTTTATAATCTCGTTCATCCTTGAAAGAAATCTAAATGAATAGAAAAAGGATTTCAAAATAGATGAAACTCTTTCTTTGTTATATTTATATGTATTAATATTGTTTTTATCATCTTAATGAGTTGGAAAGATAGTTTATTTATATCGCTCCTTTCCCATCTCAATTACGCTATGCTTTGCAATTCATAGAGTAAAAAGAAATCAGTTCTGCTGTTTTACGATTGGTTACTTTTAAGCTTGTGGTTACTATAGCTGATTCACACTCATATATAAAACCGTTAATATTTCAGAACAAAATTGCATTTCATGACGTCGAATGACGAAAATAAATTGATTGATGATAATGAACTAATGGATGATGAAAAGTCAGGTATTTCAGAAGAAGGAGATCAACAATATTCAGAAAGGTAAATCTTATATGATTGATCTTCGAAATTTATTTATTTTCTATAATACTAATAGACCTGGTTTGGCTGGTCCCATGAACTTGTTGGTTTGCATTCAGTTCATTAGAATTAGTCATTGCAAGGCAACAAATAAACCTAACAATATTGATCTTGATAATATAATAGAAATTCTTTCAACAAACAATGCAGATATTGATGATGAAATAGATCGATTACAAAAATTAGCTACAGAGTACTTATTTAATTTTTATATTTGTATTATTGATGAAAATGAAAAAAGATTTTACAATTTGAACGCTACATCAGTAGATGAAAATCAAACATGGCATCGTGCTTGTCTCGTATTCGACAAATGTAATCGAAGTTTTTATGCTTTCCATGTACGCGATAATAACCATAAATGTCAAACAATTTTTCCGACGGATGATACACATATTTTAAGATTATTCGAAGATACGGTCGAAGTTTATAAGTGGCCATATAACTTTGATAGAAAAAAATCAATATCTTATCAGGATGTATCGATGGACGATACAGAAAATACTTCAACTCCTCCTCATATCAACTACGATCCAGGTCCGTCTAAAATTTCAAGATCATTTCTATTATAGTAATAACCTTTTATTGACTATCTATTTACAGATGATTTCGAAAAGCAATCAGAAACAATACTGAACGCTTCAGGTCTTTGTAATTTACTTGTTCAAAACATAAAAAGTCTTATGTGTGATACTGGACTTCAACTAGATAGTTTGAATCTTTCCTGTAAATCCTCAGGTAGCGAATGTCATCAGAGAATAGAAAGAATTATTCTTTTTCCTTAGAATATCAACTCCCTGATTATAACTTGATGTCGCTGAAGACTTTTCGCAAAACTCTTATTATTCAATTTCAAGAACTATTAAAATTGTTCGACTTGGCAGTTGAAAGTTTCACAACAAATTGTAAAGCATCGACTTTAATAGAAAATGCTGAAACTGGGATTATTGTTTCAAATGAATGTAAATAATCAAATTAACTGTTCGTCATTGATAACTTAAATTTATTTATTTAAGGGGGCCCCCCCCCCCCCCAGAAACAAATTTTTTTATTTTTCTTCCGATTTCACCCAAAATTTCAGGGCATGT